GCTGGAAGTGCTGATCTATTTTAACAATAGGTGGTGTACCTGCATCACTTACTGTTTGCACAGAATCTGGTATTGCAACGACGAAGGTAGAAAACAAGGCTGGTAATCACTAGCACTTAAAGCAGCATAAGGAAGTCAGGGAAAGCAGCTTTTCCTTGGAGTCAAGAGGTAGTAATACCACCCTCTCTTGCAGTGGAAACACTGGTTGCTGAATTTTAAATTTTCACAGATCAAAAGAAAAAAAGCCCTCCAGGTCATTTCTAATCCATGCAGTTAACCGAGCCCATGAATTCCGAGATCCTCTCAAACAGACAGCATCTCATTTCCTAATGCTTTTTGAAAAGCCTAATAAATGAATTGAATAAAGATGAAACGAGCAACATTTTCATTACCCATTCCAACACAGAAGCCAGGACTGGAAACATCGGGGGAACACCACGGGTTGAGTAGGCAGGTGCTGTAGCATCTCTGCATCACAAACATAAGGATGAAGGTGTGGGTACATTATAGAAAATGTAAGCAGAGCTGCATAGGGGCCTGAAGTGGGAGAATGAGCTGATGGAAAGAAGCAGCACGCAGAAGGAGCGCGCAGTGGGTGCACCAGCCTACAAGCTGGATTGACAGTTGTGTAAAAAAAGGATTAGTATAATGACAGCATCCTGGGTTTTGAATTTAAATTCTTCAGCCAGGTTCTAGAGGAGTGTTATAGCTATTACCTAACCAAGACAGGTGAATTGTCAAAGCAATTTCAAACACAAAGAACCCTCAGGACTCACTGAGATGAATGCTCTTGCAGGGCCATATTCTTTGGGAAGAGACTTGTACACATTGACATCAAGAAAAAATTCAGTGGTATGTCCCCTTCCAAATACATCAGCAAAACAGCAGCAGGACCCAAAAGCCACATTCACTGACAAGCTCTGTTCCCAGTTACCATATTGCACAAGTCCTTTGTAAAACCAAAAGGAAGAGGATGTGAATTCAGAGCTCTGCTCACACGTTCAGCAGGACTTCTCATGGGCAGGAGGAAAGTCCAGTGGCCCACAGAAGTCAGCAGCTTTCTCCCCACACTTCTGCTCTGGAAAGGGGGTACTTGATTCTTCCTGGCAAGCTCCAAAAGGGCTTTAGTGATTCGACTGTAAAATGCCTTGATTCAGAGGGGCTGTGCTGCCAGACAAGTTAATGCCATGGGGAGCACAACACATTCACGGCTCTTTATGGCAAAAAGAACACAGCCAAGTGTACAATGAATCCTGAGAGCCTTGTAGGAGCCCCATAAATGTTTCCAAATGCTGATGAGGTGAGAACATGGAGCTCTGTGCCCTACCAGTAGCCGCGGGTTCCTTCCCAGTTAACGACCTCTTTAACCAATTACACATTTGCTCCCATTTTAAGTCCTCTGTTGCTCATTTGGCTGTTGCAACGTGGCCGTCTAATCCACGCTATCCTCTTCCAAACACAGAAGCTGTGACCCCACAACAACTGAGCAGGGACAAAGCAGAAAGTAAACAGAATTATTACTAGAGAGGCATGAGAGGCTGTTCTCCTAGGGGCATGATCCTTGCATCGAGGTGAAGTGACTTGCACATGATTGCGAAATACGTCAGTGGCAGAGCAAAATAGAGGGTTGAGGTAACCTGTTTCCTAGCAGCTTACTCTAAAAGCACTCATCTGTGCTCCTACTAATTGCCATCTAGATAATTTCTTTGTAGGACATTCAGGCTTACTTACCGAACCAACCTCCTCCTACCTCCCGAGAAGGTTAGAGGTGGAGAGAGCCGTGTGGTTCAGTGCTGAAGGTCAGCCTCTAATGACAAACTTCTAGGAGCTGTGGTGTTGGCTTCTGTGGACACCTGCACAGCCTGCACCCTGTGAGGGCAGTGGTGGTCCCATGTTGCAGAAAGACAAATGGGTTTAGAAGCCTTCTCCCCAAAGCACCCAGTGTGGTGACAGAGAACCAGGAACAGCCTGGTCTTAACTTGTACTGAACACCCATCCCATGTGAGTACCGTGGACCCAGAGGGTTTTTCTGACTGACTGACCTGCAAGAGAGCCTGGAGAGGGGTGAGCAGCCCTCCCACAACACAAGGTGGGGAAGGGAAGATGTGTGACTGCCTGGAAGCAGCCAGCAGGCAGCAGTCACAGTCTCCAGGAGGTTTTCAGAAGACTGCAGGTTTGGCTCTAAAGGAAAAGGAGAGAAAAAGCTGCAGGACTCTGTGACATCCAGTGAAGCCAGGCATTTGGCTGAACCTACACAGGTACATGGGCATGTGGTGGAAACACAGATCTGCATGGTTCTGAGGGACTGGAAAACATTCAGCCTTCTACTAAACTCTCTTTATGCACAGATTTATTTTATATGTTGAGGCTGAGGGGCTCTCACTGTTCAGGAGTATACAGAAGAGTTAATTTAATCTACTATGAAGTGCCACAGTGTGGTGTGAAGTGTTTCATACACAGATGGGATTAAAAGGTCTCACTGAATTGAAAAGCTGAGTTAATTTTGATTGCATTCAAAAGGGTCAGAAAACAGAAGAATGAGAGGAAAATCTTTTTCCATAGGGTGAAAGGAGATGGAAGCCAACGACGGTTAACTTACAGCCTCTTATGCTTTCTGAGTGTTAATGTTAAGTCAGCTAGACTCCTGTCAAATTATCTCCTCAAGAACTAATTTATTTTTTTTCCATTCACTTCAAGTTCCTGGACTTACACATCTCAGTGTAAGTTAACTTGAGACTTCCAGACTAAAGGGGAAAGCTGTTATTTTGCTTCAACTTGCCCAATAAATATTATATTATCCATACAGCCAAGCATCAGCATACATACATAGTCCAGGTTTTTATCATTTTAGCAGGGTCTCCCTGGCACGCACACAGTTTGAATCAAACCACCTCCCCCAGAGGTTTCATTCTCCATTGTAGCACACAGACATTCTGGACTAGAAAATAAATGTTGCGGATGAATTGGCTGAATTTCTAGAAAATCTGATGTTCTTTCTGGGGAGCACACCAAGCTTTCTCCCCATGCTGGGAATGCTCTAAACCCAAACCCATGCTTTCCCAAGGATGCCCACTGCGGCAGGAGGCTGCTCTGCCTCAAGCTGTTCGATCAGGATGCTCACACCCAAACCTGTTGCAGGTGCTGCTGGCTGACACAGGGAACAATGCCTTTATGAGTACAACACAGCCTCTATCTGTAGAGAGCTGTTGCTGCTCTTTAAAGAGCAGCCAAGAGCAGAGTGTGCTCTCGCATCCCTCCAAGCATCTGTGTGCGTCTGGAGGGACCAACGGCTGCAGTGACGGCCACCAAGGGCAGAGCCACCAAGGGGCACGTGCTCCTGAAACCATCCCCTGCATGTGTCCTTCAGTTTGTCTAATTCCACCCTTGGCCCTCACTGGCATCGTAGCCCCACCCCAGCAAAGCCAGCGCAGACAAACCCTCTCCTCACGTTGTTTAGGGGAAGGCACATACATCAAAGCCCTAATAAAGAGGAGCACACTTCCCTCTTTGTGCTCAGGGAGCATCAACTGGAAGGGAGCCAAGCAATTACCAAGCCCTAGAACTAAAAAAAAACATTGAACTCATTACCCAGAAGACTTACAAACCGAGCCTGAAAGAGATTATAAAACCCCATCCGAACAGGCACAAACAGCAAAGCACCCACCCCGCGGGAGGGAGAGCGCTCACACCCCGGCAGTGGTGGGCAGTGCTCTTGTAAGCGCCGAGGCTCTAACAAATTCCTCTAACACCCCTCAAAACATGTGCCAGGCGGTCAGTCCCACCCCACCAGGAGATGCCTGGCTGAAATCACAGCAGTAAATCAGCACAGGATGGCTCCCCAGAGGTCAGGGCTCTGCCGATGAAAAACTTCTGACAGCCCGCCACGTTGTGCGGATGGGCTACGCTCACAGACGGTGCCTGCAGTTGGCTTGAGACCTGGCTTGTGATGTTTGCATAGCCTAAATATGTCTGGCATTTATTTCACAATGTTCTTTTAAATCTTAGGAAGCGTGCGCTTTGGCTGTTTCGTTGTCTCCTCCCTGCTGCGGTTACAGGGAAATGGATGACTGATGATTCTGTGATTCGGTGTGCAGATCCTCTGCCCCGGCTTGAGCAACACTTACCAACGGGTCACAGCTTTCCCAAGTATAACTGCCATTCAAGCTGACCCTAAACATCACACTGGCATTTTGCTTTTTGGCTCTTTTCCCCCTTCTCTGGACTTGTGACAAGGAGGTCACTGACAGAGTGGGCTACGACAAGCTTAGAGCTGTGATTGACTGTGTAAGATCACAAGATCTGTTTGTTACAACCCCTATAAGTAGGGGAAAGACATGGCTTTGAAGTAGAGAAGTTTTTTTTTTTCTTCTTTGCTTTCTTTTTTTTTTTTTTTCTTGAGAACATCAAATCTCCCAGATCAGACAGGCCTTGCCCAAGGCGTCGTTCCTAGAAAAAAAGGATTGTTTTAGCTTTAACCTCAAACTGCACCCTGAGCCGTGTCGGGCCATGGGTGCAGATGGATGTCAACTCCTCCGGCTGAATTTTCAGCTGGCCAGATGCAAGCCCGCAACAGGCCAGATGCTGCAGGGCTGCACGGGTCAGAGTAAAATCCCTTCCCCAACCTGCAGGGAAGGGTGCCCACATGTGGACAGGGCATATCTGCCTCGTACAAACTGCTTGCTCACTAACACTCCTGCCTGGCCAGCTCAGAGTCAGCTTTACATTTCTTCCTTTTTTTTTTTTTTTTTTTTTTAATAATGTACTTAAATACAGTTCTTCTGTAATTTGTACTTGCAACCACTTGGCTACCAAGTGAGTTGTGACCTCGAGTAAATTACTTGCAGCATCACCCATCTATAGGAAACAGCAAAAATTAAAGCAACAAAATTTGCAGGGTTGCTTGGCGCATCTGGCTGCCTGATGCCAGCTGCAGAGGCGGTGGCTCACTCTTTGCCCTCTTGCCGTGATGCCAGGGATCTAACAAGGCAGCTGAGAAGCTCTGAATGTTACATGAAGCATGTTTAATCAAAATAAAATATCCCAAGCACATTGCACGTATTGATTTGTAACTCTTACCAGTGGTTGTTTTCATAAAGTAATTGCAGGTGCTTGCTCTTGTGCTTGCAAAAAGAGGGTCAAACCTTAGTCTGCCTTGCTGAACACTCTCTGCATCAAAGATCTCATGAGAGGTTTGGGCACTTTAAAAGGATCAGCAATTATCTGTGGCTCTGGCTTCGCATTTTCTTTCCTTGCATATCCGTGCCAGCAATAATTTAGCATTCATATAACAGGAGGAAGCAGAATCTGACAGTGGGGGATACAGCTGAAGTGAAGCAGATGTCTTTTAAATTCGGAGCACATAGAGCATAGAAGCACTGACTGATCGAACACAAACCAGAAGTGAAACCAGAAAAGCCGAGAACTACAGAAAAAAAAACAAAGTACACAACAAACTTATTTTTAAAACTCTTCCCTTCTTTGAATACCTCGTTGCACTGCCAAGTAGCACAGGTAAGGAGTTTTCAATAAATTCAGTCCTTTGTTGACCCTGTCTCTTGCATTATTACTTTTTGGCACAGCACATAGGACACCTCTGGGCCAAAACACAAGTGATGTTGAAAGTACAACTGCTCCTTCCCTTTGGGAATGCAAGTTTTCTGATAGTTATATAAACACATTTGGATTTTTTTTTTTTTTTTTTTGGATATTCATCACATTAGCAATTATACTATTAATGGTGAGTCAGAGAACATTTTGCTGACATTTTAAAACACACAACTTAAGGTCAGAACCTCCTAAACTTCACAAAGCAAGCAGACCTGATGTGAAACAGACTCATTCGCCCTGGTGGGACTGCTCTAATGAGCAAGGATTTGCAGCATGTGATCTCAGGTTGGGAACTATATAGAGCTGCTTCCTTTTAATTGCAAGGCACTGGGCACATCCAGGCAAGAGCAAAATATAAGGATAAAAGAGCAGCTCTGGAGAAACAGCAGATAATTATAAAATGAAAAAGAACCAAGGGTGGAGGTGTTTTTTTTTTTTTTTTCCTGGTTAATCTAGGAAACCTTTTCAACCAAGGCAGTAACCAGTGGTCGTTAGAAAAGTGCTGTGACACGCAAGCAGCCAAAAAAGCTCCAGTCCAGGCTTTCACAATAATCACAGACCTGAAGACAGACTTTCAACTTCTCTTGGAACAGCTCTCCCCTAAAAGCAGACCCGGAACGTAACCCCCACACCAGAGGCTATCTTTGGTGCAGAAACCCTTCTGGATAAACCAGCGCAGGGAGTTTCTTGGCAGAGGAGAGGAGTTACTTATAACTCTGCTTTGGCCGTCGCACAGCACAGACAGAGGCAGGCAGGGAGGCTGGTGGAACTCGGCTGCTTCACCGTGCTGCAGCTCACAGCACATTTTGCTGAAATTTTGATCCGTGCAGAGCAGACAACTGCCCCTTCTCCCACGCTTTGCTCACATCTGGATTTGAGATAAAGCTGAAAAAAAAAAAAAGAGGAATACAATTCAACTTAACACACAGCCTTCGCTTAGCATATGTGCCCAGTTGTTCAAATCATACAAAATAGTCGCTTTTACCTGCTTTTGACGGAATACCAAAATATCAGCCCCTGTGTTCTCAGGAAGTCTGCGGGCTCCTGGGCTCTTGCGCGCCTTGGCCTGGCTGGTGGCTGCGTGGCAGAACCACACAGGTTTTGCTCAGCTTTGCTTTTTGCCTGGGTACATTTCTATGAAAGCCGTTTCCCTGCCATAACCACAAAGGATGAGGTAAAAAGGAAAAAACTCAAAGGCTGTGAGTGAAACCATTCTCGAATAAGGCGACATAAGCCTCACATAGGGGAGATTAAGCTTAATCTCTGAAAAGGGCCAGCAGAAAAGGCTGGTGGACTTCAAAATGAGCTACAACAGCTGTGTTTTGGTTGGCCTACAACTGCTCTCCCTTTGGCTGCTGCTGGCTCTGCTTTTGTGAGCAAGACAGATTATTAAAATACAGCATTCGGGCTCCTTTGTAGCACACTGCAGGGACTGAAGGTGGTACCAAAGCTAAGTGGGGAGGTAACGAGGTGCTCCTGCCACAGCAGAGCCAGTGCTCATCGGGCAGTGCTGCCCGCAGGTCGAAGCAAGAGATACCATTTATTGGCTTTGAGCCTGTCTTTATTTTTGTTTCAGAAACACCTTTTGATAGGAAAATGCATGCCCTTCTGTCTGTCTGGTTTAACCGCTGGGTTTAATTGGCCTTTTTTTTTAGAGCACAATAGATAAATCAGCAAGATGCGGTGAAAGTCAGAATAAATTGAGCTCAAAAGCTTTTCATTACTTACTAGTCACCACAGAAGGAGAGGAACTGCTCATTTTCCATGGTAATAAGCTATGCCACCAACCTGAAGAGTAGCTTAAAATAATTAACAGTACCAAAAAAAGAAAGGGTGTGTATAGGAGTATCTGTGGAGCCACTCCACCCAGTACGATAGGAAAAAAATGAACTGGGTGGACCTGCATTCCAGTGGCAGCTCTGAACGACTGCGCTTTGTATTTCTGTGCCCGGAGATATACATTTCTTGCATGCAATCACAAGCAATGAGGAAAAATAAGAGGCAACTTGAAAAGCAAAGCAAAGCAAAACAGAGCACTCAAGGAAAAAAAGAAAAAGAAAATAATTTGTTCGACAAGACAAAGAACAATTCACTGTGTGTGCTCAGGAGCGCTGGTTTTCATCTTTGCAGTAATTGTATCGTTTATTAGGTGATGTTTCCTGTGATGGTATTTAGAGTTATTGTGCAAGGATGTCATAACATCCCTGTTTATTAGATAACTTTGGGGATGTTGCTGTGGGAGACTATAAGAGAAAATAACAAGAGAGAAATTGTCTGAGAAAGATCAGGTGTGCTGCTTGAATACGAAGAGCACAATGCACAAAACAAGACAGGGGAAATAAACAAGTAGCAACCTTTTTTTTTTTTTTTTTTTTTTTTTTCCCCTGCAGGTGTAAGATGCCTGGTATTCAGCTCTAACCTTATGACTAGGACATCTCTCAGACCAATGAGAATCAGGAAAAACTGGGTGCAAAACCCTTGGGTCCTACTGCAAAGGAGGGAGCTGAAAGGAGAGATGTGGGCAAGGAACAGCCTGGAAATCTGGAAAAGAAGGAACCTTGAGGGGACAGAAAGGTTTGTGCCACACACACAAAAATGTATACTATGCTGTTAAACTTTTCTTCTTCAGAGGAATTGCTCTAAATGATTTTCCTTCCCTCTGAAGGGTTTTGGAGTAAGGCTACTCAGGAGTGCTGCTGATGGTAGCCTTGGAACGACCGAGCGCGGTGTGTGCTGCTCCAGTGTGGGACTGGAGGTTAAGGTGAGACAAAACCCAAAATACAGAGGGTTAAGGTCAGACAAAACCCAAAATACAGACGTATTGTCCATGCCCTTGATTAGTCTGTCCTGGTGGACTGGCCTCTGGCATAGCTTCAGGCAACGTGTTGTACCTTATTAGAGCTTTGTTAGTCCAGGTCTGGTCACCATCACTTCTTCACTGGTTTGTTTCCTCAGAAAAGTCCTAGAAGAAAAGACAGTGCCACTCACTTAGCCTTCATGACAAGAAATAGAAGCAACTTAAAAGAAAAGAAAATGGAAGGTTCAGTTTTGCTCAGAAAAATAATAATAATAAAAAGTTGATATCAGCAGTACAGAAAGAAATATCCTAAGTATTCAATTTTGTTTTCTGGAGTTAAATCAACTTGATTTCCTCTCCCTCAATAGGATGTTCCTTTGGTATTTAATATCTTTCCTCTGTTTTGGAATGCCAGTCTTGTTGTCGTCACTGAAAGAGATGTTAAGAGTCCTCAGAGACTGCACTCATGAATAAATGTTAAATTCATTCATTTCCTAAAAATCCATCATCTTGGCTGCACAATGCTACCCGAGGCAACAATGCTGCGAATGGGCTGTGGGGCCCGCTCCCGGACTCTGCACGGCCCTGGAGCATCACTACTGCCATCGGCTTTGCCAGCAGATTTCAGGGCAGCGGGGTCAGCCACAAACCACTGGGCAGCAGCAGGATGTGCTTGGTGTGCCTCGAGGAGGAAGGGCCAAATCAAAGCCAAATGCTCAACAATGCATAAAGAATATGGGTAACAACTGAGCTGCAAACTCACCTCATCCCAAGCCTTTTTTTTTCTTTTTTTTTTTTTTTTTTAATAGTTCAGATGTTTTCGTCTCTTACTTCGCCGTGCTGTGTTTCTTGTCACTGCTGTATGCACAAGGCTGTCACTGCCTGGGTCGAGCAGAGCAAGGCTGGTCAGAAAAGAACAGACTCGATGGAGGATGCGTCTGCAGGTCAGGCAGTGCACTGGGGATGCTCGGGAGGATAAAGCCTGCACACAGCTATGGCTTTACTGTGCAATTATTCTTGATAGCTGTGTCTGGTTTATGGAGCTAGGAAGCTTTTTTCTTATTTAAAAAGTAAGCTTTATGGATCAGCAACAAAATGGTAAGGCGTGTCCTTGCTCTGAGGTTTTTATTTACAGTAGTGATGAAGGAGAGAAAGAAAAACTTGGGCTTTAGCTCTTCAGAGTTTGGAGAGACTGCAGTTAGAAAAATCACCTTTTGACTTGTAAAAGGAGCACATTTGATCTGGGAATTGCTCAGACAGGAAAAATCAATATGGACTGGTATAATTTGTTATTTACACAAAGTCATTTTACTCTTGACTGCTAAAGGCCTTACACCTTTTATTAATAGACATTTTTCAAATAGATTGCACTGAAGACTCTAAAGCCACACACAGCTCTTCTTCCCCCTTGGCGGATGGTTGAAGTTTGGGGTTTAAGGAAGAAGTAAAGCAGCCAAGTGAATGAGGGAGGCACCTGCAAGGCTGAGATCTGACCTGGGCACTGGTGACATTAACTCTGGAAACCAGTTTCTACACAGAGGCTTCAGCTGGGAACCTGCTTTCCAACAGAGCCTCTCTGGATGCCCAGCTGGGTGAAATCCTCCTCACCAGTGCAGCTCCAAGTGCAGGATCAAACCAGTGGGTGAATCACAAGGTGCCTATCCCTATAAGCTTCATGTCAGATGAGGAAAGAGTAATGGGATAACTCATCTCTGGGAGCTGCAAAGCAAAAAGCTAGTTGGGAAAAGATTGTGCTCAACAGGAGAGATCTGAGACCAGCTGTCAAGCTCCTATGTCCAGGTGGGTTTTATCATGGCAGCATCATAACCTGTGCCAAAGAGCCCCATAGCAGAGCAAAAGTGAATACCATCGCACTGCTGCTTTCTGCAACAGCATTTGAGAACTGACAGCAACCAGCATAACCATCCAGCCTTGTTCATGTGGAGAGAAGAAATTGCTCTTTGCTTTTTGCATGCTGGGTTTGTTCTGCACTGCAAACAAAAGCAGTTGTCTAAACTGACTCTGTCTTAATGCAGAACCAGATTATTTCCTTTTCTTCCATCTCCATCTGCTGCCTGCTTAGAGCTACCCAGGTTTACCATATTCAGTGCTTGTGATTAATGCTTTCAGCAACAGTATTTTTTTTCTATCCTATTGCCACATTGTCTTCAATATTCAACCCACAGACCAAGGGTGGCATCCCACTGGTGAAGCCATGTGCTCCAGAGCCCTTTCACTGCAGTACAGAACTGAGTCTCTTTGAAAGTGCAGGTGTCATTTGGTCTGAGGTGCTGTGCTTTCAGGATGGAGAACTGCACATGCGGATCTGAGGCCTCTTGGAGCAACATTGTCATAATAAAAATGAGCTTGGTTGTGACAGTTTCCATTATGGTAAAGCAGATGAGTTCCTATCTCCTTTTGTCAAAATTAAACACTTTTGCTTGGCCCAAAAAAAAAGATAATTCCTCCATTTGAAATGCAGATCTGATATTTTGCTATTCAATTAAATTTCTCTGCTTCTCAGATAGACTGCAATTGTTACTCAATTTCCTAACTGTGGCACTCTGAGGAGGGAGGGGTATGCTCACCATTCTTCTCCCCGAGGCTGTATTTTGCATCTGCAAGAATCAACCTAGAAAAATATCTCATGGTGCAGCCCTCCTGTATTTGCTGTGCCACCTCCCTTGTAAATACAGTCCCTTCATTAAAATGAGCATATTGCCCTCTATCCATTCCCTGTCGCTTCCATGACCTCGGGAGGTCAGAAAGTCCACCTGGACAACATCATTCCTATTTGAGAATGACTCCAGTGAGCAGAACATGGGAACATACACATATATGCTCACCCCTTAAAAAACAAACAAACAAGCAAGCAAAACAAAACAAAACAAAAAACAAACAAACAGGATCTTTCATTTTATGTCAATCAGCCCTGAGAGCATCCTTTTAAGAGGCCTTACCTTGGTGGATTGGTGAGAGTCTCTCAGAGTAAAGCTCTTTCTGATTCACTTCCTTCACTTCAGATGCTCTTTGTTCCTTCTGTTTGCACTTCATCACACCCACACATGCCCCTACCACACATCCCCTCCTGGCCATCCTTCTAAGTCTATCATCTGGTTGCACATCAGCAGAATTCAGGCTCCTTGCTCCAGCCACCCCTAGGAAGAGGGGATCTCCATCCCTGTCTGGGGAGCAAGAAACGAGCTGCTTCCCCTCAGCACATCCGTGCCAGGGCACATTTCCTTGGGGAAATCTCCCACAGTCGGGACGTGATTCTTTGTGTAGCAGCCCAGGTAGCACCACCTGACCTTATTGTGCAGTTTTTAAGCAGTGTTGAGCAACTAAGTGCATCAGGAATGCCAAAGCTTGAAGTAGTGCAGAGTTACAGGGGAGACATCTCAAACTGAGATACAGAAGGGACAAGGGATTAGTTACAAAATCAAGATGGAAAGGAGTTATTTGGAAGCTTTACCCCTTCCCATAACTACAGATTCAGTGAAGCATTTTTTCTGCACTGCAGTCATAGCCAGCAGCATATACAGAATAAGGATTGAAATATTTTGAAGTGCTGTCACAGTGTGAATGATTTTCTTTAGAGCATAAAATCAGACTGCAAAGTTATTTTCTGTCTGTGGCGACACAAGAAGAATGTGAATGTGATCAGATCTGGCCCTGGGCATAGAGGAGAGCAGAACTGGCCTTAGCCAGATTCTCTTTTTTTATTCAGAGTCCTGCTAAGAAACACAAAATCCAAAAGAAATTCTGAATCTGGCTGGATGTCTCATAAGAGGAACAGGATTTCAGCATAGCTGAAACAGCATGACTTTGATTATTTGAAAACGCATGATTTAATCATTTCATTATGCATACCTTTTCACAGCAGGCGCCACAGCCTAAAACAGACAGAGACAAGCATTAGATGAAACAACATACTTTCTAGCTAAAGAGATTGGAATCAAAGAATTTAATCTTGCAAGGCACCGATATCCTTGCTGCCTTTAGACTTGGCTGCAAACAGCAGGTGAGCAGCACAGCGCAAATGGAGCCTTAGCGAAGCGCTCTGCCTAGAAGTGACATCCCACAGGATGGCTTTGGTTTCTGCCTTCCACAGGGCACACCTGCCCATGTCTCATCTCCCTACAACACACAACATGCTCAGAGTGCTGTCAGTGTCCTGACACCCACCCTTAGCCCAGGTTGCCCTGACCACCCTTAAGTCCCTGCCATGCGTCCATCCTGTGTCTGTCCAGGCTGAGGACACCACAGGAGGCACCTGGGTCTTGGATCTGTCTGTGGAGCACCCAAACAGCTCTCTGCATCATTCGGTGCCCTCAGAACAGTGTCCTTGTCTGGACTCAGAGAGCTGCTCAGTAACAATGCACAACACCGTGGGCTGGTTCGCAGCAGGCGGTCTCATGGTTAGCATGCGGATACATGATTTTTCTCCACACAGAATACTTGGTCTGCCCCTTTCAGTGATGCCAGATGCTGTTCCTCTGCTAGGAAATGGAAACAACCAGGGACACAAGCAAAGCTGACCAGCAGTTCAGCAGCACCCTGACACGGACATGCTCGTGATGCTGCATTATTTAGTGGGGGCAGTGTCCAGAAGAACCTGCTCTGACTGCAGAACAGAGCCTGTGTTCACATCCTATCGCTGCCAGCCTCCACTTGTTTTGCCTGAGCTAAACCAAATGGCCTCCAATTTCTAACAGAAATAAAAAATGTATATGAAAATCCCATGGGAAGAAGCCCCCAGACATGAGCTTATGAAATATTTCACAGTGCTGGAAATGATGAGTTTGACCCGTGACTTGCAAGATGAACACAGCCAACCAGATTGTCCCCAGACCTCCTCCAGAGAGGACACCTGGAGTATCCCCACCAAACAGCCCATGCTAATGGGCTTCAGCCAAGTTTGTGGAAATCCCCTCTGAGAAAGATCAAAAGCTGCAAATTCAGTGTCTGTACCCCAACCCTGTGCAGGTACGAGAACCACAGCAATGGGAATAGCGATGCCACCCTCTCCCCACTGGAAAGGCAGCTGAAAACACCAACCAGTTTCATACAGATCTAAGCTGGATTCACCCAGTGACCCAAGGAGCCAAAGCTCAGTCCCAGGCCCTAATACCTGGGCTCATGGCCAATTAAAAGGTGTTCGAAGGGCAGCAGAGTGCCAGAGAGCGCTTTGATCTCACAGATCCTGGCCAGATGTGTAATAGCTGCTCAGGTGTTTGTGCAGGTATCAGTAACAGTCCATGCACATCAGACAGACAGCTTTCTTCCTGGGTTTGCTAACAGAAACAGCAGTTGCTCACAAATCACAGAGAACAGAAATAATCCCTACCTTTTTAAACATCAAAAATTGTAAAGCTTCACAGCTGCACGGTTCTGAAATTGAATTGAATGACTTGACTTGCCAAAACCTGAGATCAGAGTTCCAGGTCTTTCATGCCACAGCTGAAAGTATCAATAGCGCTCAAAGAGGAGCACAGAGCAGCCTTTCAAACACCGATTGTGGCTTTAGAGGCACTATTGGGTCTTATCCTTCTAGCACAGTAGCCTCGATTCAAAGTGGGTGTGGGAGTAAAGCAAACTGTTTTTCAGTGTGAACATTTTGTTATTTAAAGGACTGGTTCTTCTTTCTGAAGCTATATCTAAAGCCAGTTAAGGATTCTGTATTTCAATTAGTGTTTGAATTTAAAATATAACACATTTGAGTTTTTTAAGTAGGAGAGCAGTGGTGTATTTTCTCTGCAAGCAATGCAGCAATGATTCAAAAGCAATATTCTTGCAAGCACGGACTTGATCATACAGAAAGGCTTTGGGGATGAAGCATTAAATTCCCAGAAATTGCTTTCCCCATTGATCGAAAGGGTCCCAGGCCTGCTGACTTCTGATGCTGTAGGACCATGTTGCTCAACCAGAACATCTCTCTGCTTAGACACAAATCTCTTGCCTTCACACGTTGCCCCAGTACGTGAAATGTCTCAGCAGCTCAATGTCAATTATTTATTTATACCCCTAATGCCCTTTTGAGTTCTGGCACTGTTACTTGCCTAACTTTTGCAGAAGAGAAAAACAAGGCATAGTAAATCTAAATAACCTGTTAGCTTCTATTTTGCTTGTTGGTCATTGTTTTATTCATCACTGGTAAACAAAATTTCATTAACAGTAGAATAACTAATTCCAGCATTAAGATCAGAGGTGATTTTTTTTTTTTTTTTTTTTTTTGCAAGCAAGAGGAAGAGGATGTCAGCTTATGTCAGCTTTTTACTCACCATACTCTCTCTTCAGTCAAGCTGAGCAAGAGAGTTCAGTTATGCTAAGAGAGGCATTTCCAGTCTCTCACGGACCAGGGAGACAACCTGTGGGACTCTAACAGGAAAGGAAAGACTAGATTTGTACATATGTATGCACATATATGTAATATATATATAAACATACACACATATACATATATAACCTAGATTTAGGTAGATAGATGACTACATTTATGTTGACAGATGTAAACACGCAGAAACCATAACTGCTGTAAAATGAACCATTTTCAAAGCACATCATTCTGGTCCTGAAAACCCTAGAATCTTTTTTTCCAATAACAAATACATCCTCTTCCTACCTATCCTGGACCTCAGCTGCAAAACACAGAACCACTTTGTGTCATGGCAGAGAAAAGAAAAAGGAAAACAAAGCCAAGACAATGAAAAAAATTAAATCCCCTCTGCTAATGTTGCCAGCACTTTCCGAATGAACTCTGGCGTATCTGTGTCTGATGTTCACCTAAAAAGCAGAGCAGATAGTCCAAAAACTCAAGGCCAATTCAAAATGGTCTGGTTATGTTGGCACCAAACCAGAAACAACCCAACCCCCTGAGCTGTATGCCTCTTCAGTCCAAACCTTAATTTCAATTTTCCTGATATCTGGTCATTGTATTCAGAATGCCCCAGGCAAGGAGCTGCATTTGAGTACCCTGCTCTTTTGCAGTGTTTGGAAAGCAGGATCCAAGTTTAGCATCTTGAGCCCACTTAGACAGTGAATGACTTAAAGAAGAGGAAAAAGAAAAAAAAAAAAAAGAGCAAACCTGCTGCTTATTTTACATTCTCAAGCTTCTTTGAATCTGTACAAATGCTAGGAACCAGCCAGACAACAGATGCATCAGGAAATTAGCTTGTCTCTTCCAAGAGCTCACATTAAAACGAAGAAAGAGATGAAGATCAGGAGACCTGATGCCCTTTGGGGACTGTTGCTGGAAGCTTTGCCTTCAGGTGATAAAGGGGGAGGTGGTTAATCCAGGGCAGACACGGGCAGATAGCATTGCTGTACTTGTACCATTCTGTACAACATTAGTCCAGACAGGAGTCTATTAACAGTGTCTGATGGAAGCAATTGTATTATTTATTAAACTGACAAGATCAATTGGCTGCTTTGTACCAGTATAAAGAGAACTATTGTACTTTCATGTCCTTTTAAACACAGAGAATAAAGCGCTCCCCAGGGTGCTTTCATGGGCTGCCTTCGATTAAGAGTTCTTAGAACATTTGATATTGTCAGAGATCAGCTTGCCAGATCCCCAACTGGATTTGCAGCCCTTACAAAAGAAGGGAAGATGGTAGCAATTATAATTAAAAGTGAGCTGAGAAGGAAGGACCTTACCTGACTTAGACGAGTGCTTTTACTCACTCTTCCCACAGACTAGGCTCTCAGACCTGAGGGAGACTGACCTGCTTTTATAGCACCAGCAGCAATGTCAGGAGTAGCGTCACGGCACTGGTAGCTGAAAATGGGATGTTAATTCTCTTCTTCACCTGGAAAACGTGGGGGGAGAGGCAGTTTCTAGGGCATGAGTAATTTTCAATAGGGCCTAATTCTGACAGGCCCTATTATTGTGTAAATTACCAGCAGGTTTTAAGATGGGCTGTGCAATGTGTCTCTATATTCTCAGCTGTAGGAGATGAGGGCAGGGGGAAGGCTTTTTCACGACACCTCTGATTGATAAAGCACTTGGCTACTATAGCACTCTCGTTATTACCTTTCATCCCAGGAGCTGAGAGCAGCTCAGATGCAGCATGGAACATATGCCAGACACAAATATTTAGGAACTGGTGCCACTGTGTAGTTAAAGGCCTTTGACTCTACAGTTTCTTTCTCAAGGGAAAATCCTGAGTCCATTGCTATTTAGGACATGATGCTAACGAGGTGTGTTAACACAAAACTTTACCTGCAGGGTGTTTTGGGGAGTACATCCAGAGGATGCAATTTTATAAACTACACAACAAACAGTTTAAGTTAATTTGGAGTGGATAAATATGCTAACATTGTGGCATACTTAATAAATCAGTAGCAATACTCTCTCAGTGCAGATATTTATGGGCAGTTGTGGAATTTTCCAAAAATCTGAATGCCCCTTTTACTATGTGTTCCTAAACAGAGGTGTGCACTGACTGCACAGAAGCCAGGCGCCAGCTTGGAGTTAAGAACAAATTTTTCATGGGTACCAAAGCAGGGTTATTGTTGTTGTGTCATGATAAGCCACATTTGTCTGTTTGTCACCCTAGAACTGAAACCTCAAATGTTCATATTCAATTGCAGTTGCTTTCTTTTCAATTAGATTTTGCCTGGTCCTTGCTATTAATACAGAAAATACATACATTTCATGCTGAAATCTGTATGACCTAGTGTTTCCAGTTAATTGCTGCCCAAAACAGTTTCAGGACCAGAGGCAGATGACAGCCACATGACATTGGCTTCTGTTCAGTTCCCTGCTCTTCTTTATTCCCCTATTTCTTGCCTATGCCACTTGGGTGTGCAAGCCTTCGCTAGCTCCAGGCTGGATAGCATCAGTTTTGAGTGAGATCTTAAAAAAAAAAAAAAAACCTCAGATTTTCTCGTATTCTACTTCTGAAACGCTAATCTGCAATCTGCTGCTGCTTTATCTCTGCTGAACCTAATAAATCCCAGAATTAGAGCTCAGCATCAGACCGTGCAACTCTTAGCATACCGACAGAAACCAGCAAAGTCTGTGCCCCACCTTCCGGCTGCCGAACAGCACTGCACGAAAATCATCTGTCAAAGGCTTGGTCGTCAGGAAAATTAGTACCTTTAGGTATACAGTGCCAATTGTTACGACTTGTCAAAATACTGCTCTTTCTTGGCTGGTGAAATAAAAGGTGGCTAAAAACGGATTAAGAACAGCATCCTATGCACCCACAGTGGAGATCTGCAATGCAGAACGATTTGTATTGTTACTAAATTTAATGAACCTGTGGGCCTGTTTAATTTTACATTTTTTTACAAGCTGATTTCCAAGGTGCCACAATATCACACCGTGAAGTCAGTGCTCACAAGCACAAGGGGAGACAAAGCTCAAATTTTCCTGCCGCAAAGCCAGAAGTCCCTGTCCTAGGTTTGGGTACTTGATCCCTTCAGGAAGCTACATTGCTAAAATGCCCTGTAACTGCATTACTATTGCTAGATCATTCATCGTGACAAGAAGACAACAGAGAAGATATTGAACGGTGGAAAGAGATTGCAAGGAACTACCTGTAGAAATAAAAGGATGGAAGAGCAAGGTAAATATTTGAGGTGAAGGAAGAGCACAAGGAACACAGGCAAGCACTCAGACTAGGCCATCACCAGTCAGTGCCCATGTTCCCAGGCCTACAATTTCCCTAGATTTGAGGACAGTCCGTGCAGACAGACACTGTAGTGTAGCCAACTACAGAAGTTTTCTCGCTCACCTTTAATGTATCTATCAGGAGATGATTTATTAGTTTTCTTACAAATTGCATTGAGAAAACAAAGCCATAAGCCTAACATTTTATATGTAAAATTGACAGAAAGAGCTGACCTTGCCTGCAGGAGTAGCCAAATGTGCTCACAAGATGTTCTTGACGTCTTAAGCCATCCTGTGATCCTAGCCTGCACAGAAAAATAAGCATATTTCAAAGAAAATCCTGTGTGAGGGTACAGCTTAGTTTACCCTGCTGTGGGTCATTAGAGTCTCAGCACAGTGACAAATGTGTCACTCCCTTTAAGTTATACTTATATCTTATTGTTAGATAACTCTGGAAAATAACTATCCCAGAATAGAGCGGTCCATGGGGATCACAGGAACCTTCTGCTTATCACAAGCTTTTCTCAAGAGTCCTTCCTTTTCTGTGTTCTGTTGGTACAGACAATTTCAGGAAATCTGTAGGACTTGCTTTTGAGATATCAAAAATAAATAAATAAATAAATATGTCACATACAAACACTATTCTTTTTAAGAGGCAAAACATCAAAGCTTTCAATGTCCTTTCCGATGTGGCTATATTCCAAGAGACACATCCTAGTAAAGTGGCTTAAGGTGAGTTTTTTTTTTTTTTTTTTATTCTATCATCACTCATGAGTTTTCTTTCACAACATCATTCTTTCATTGCCCAGCTGTAGTCTAAGAGCAGCAGGGTTTTTTTCCACCTCTTACACAAGAGCAATGGTGGCAAACTGAGAATACTTCCATGGAAAAAAACCTCCATTTACAACAGAAAGTGCCTGAATCACTGAGGGAACTCTTACTTGTTTGGGCATTTGTGTCTTTCTGGGACCAGTACTTCCTCGTACAGGAAACTTCCTGGATATAATCCTCTAAGCTGTAATTAGCAGAAGACAAGTTAAAGCAGATATTGTATAATGATTTGACAGTGAGTGTAGCAACGTCCTGCTTAACAGCTTGGGATATAGCTCTAAAGTATATTTATATAGGATCGTATTTGAATTACTAATTATTATAAATGAGAGCAAACAGAATCTCAGGGGTATACTTACCCCTCAGGGGTCCTCAAAAATCCAAATCTGTGTTGGGTTTTTATGTCCGCTTGTTGCAAACTCAAACATAAATACATAGGAAAATATACCAAAGTCAAATATTTTTTTGCAATCTTGATTTGCCTTCCACGATTCAGTCATTCTTGTTTGATCCCATTTTTCCCCACAGGATTTTTTTCTTGGTTGTGGCACTAAATAGGCTTTACAATATTCAGATGTTTGTCTCTATTTTTCAACAGGCCATCATTGTGCTTGATTATTTCCAATTTACTTCTGAATACAGAGAGCTTAACTTTCTTACCGTCCCCTTCTGCCATGCTTAGCAGCACTATATTTTTTAGGACTCTTGTGGGAACTTATTAAAAATACAAACCACTGGGAATGCCCTGACAACTCAAGACCTTACAATGATGGAGAATGCCTGTTTTTCTGCACTGAACACCTACCATAAAATCCTTTTCTGTTCTTTTCCAGTGCTGCCAGGAAGGATCAATGAGAACTTATCACATGGCCAGTCTCTTGTGCTTAATTGTGTGCATATTGATGTACACAGTCAGAAGAACTGAGGAAGCCTGACTTCAGCTCTTGGAGTATTGGATTTAGAAAACATTTTGAATATGGCTCTGATTTTCCTCCTCTGTCAGCAAGGATCTCCAGTGTGTTCATGTTTCACAGGAGCAAGGCACAGAGAATGTGGACAATGTTCATGCTTAGTCTTCAGTCAAGTACTTTAATCTATCAGCAGGAAAATGCTTTCCCTTCCAGCAGGCCTCAGAAATCTCTCAAATATCAACTGAGCCATATAGTGCAAGTTTATGTGGAATAGCTGGGAGATGGACAGCTCTGGGTGAAGCCAAAACTGCTGCAGGCACATGAAGGAATTCAAGCCCCCAAAGAATTAACCATTAAGGTTAAATTGGATTTTGCCTCTGAATGCACAGACCAATGTAAATATATCATCACTAATAATGCAGACAGTAGATTCAAATTGGAATATCATCATTAAATAGCTGGGGTTTGTATGTCTGTTTGTTTTTGTTTTGAAATCTGTGCCTTACCCAAATAGAACTTTCTGCCTGCCAAAAGGGCTAGAAAAAAACAGGTTTTGCTCTTTCTCCACTTATAACTTTTTTTTTTTTTTTTTTTTCCCCTTGGGGTCTTATGAGGTCTTTCTTTCAGGGGATTTATTTTTCAGTGTCAGGACCCAAAAAGTAAAAGCACACAAAGAGGGGGCATGAGCAGAAAGAAAAGCATGCCTTACCCTTGCTTCCTAAACCAACAGCCTGTGCCATGCCGAAGCCAGAAAGAATTGACTATAAACAAAAAGCACCTTCTCAGATTCCTGTAGTGAGTCTGCCTTTCAGTATCCTCTGACAGTGTGACGCTTCCTGCCAAAAGAGCCCTTGTGTAAGGAAAGCAGAAGCAGCAAGCTAAACTAAGCCGCAAAAAATGCTTTCTAGGCAATGATAGCATTACCCGATTTATTCATAGCTCTGCTGAAGTGCTGCCTATAAAACCCACTGCAGTGATTTATTCTGCTCTCATTTCAGCATTGTCAAGAACCCTGCCTTCCTGCTACAAATCTACCTCCCTTTGCTCACAGAATAACCCAAACAAATACAGAAACCTTTACACTAATAAATTCTACATTGCATTTAGGTATATGGATTAAACTTGATGTATATCTAAGCTACCTTCTGCAGCAGCAAATGCCCAAGCTGAGATAGTTCTGCCAGTAGATGTCACCAGGAGCAGAGAAAAGCACCGTGGCAGGTCCCAGCTGTCCCACCTGTGTGCCAAAAGGCACTGCGATGATCCCAAGGGAGGTTTGGGAAGGAACCCGAGTAGGAGGTTGCCAGCGCAAACATGATTCATCAGCATTTCTGCTTTCTGACCTCGTGGGTGCAGTGTTGGAGGAAGACACGGATGACGCACTGCTGCACTTTGTACAGCAATGCAAAATGGTTTCATGCAAACCTGTTCCTCAGGCCGAGCCTCCATACGTATGTTGACTAAGGAAGAGCACACGGAGATTCCAAGTTAGGAGTTCCCAAAGCCCTGTCACCTGCAACCTTTGACCCCAGGGATTATTCAAATTGTCTGTCACAATCATTCCTTTGATAAGGAAGAGGTAATCCCTGAGCTGATTCTCCTCACCCCTGCTGTGAGCAGAGTCTAGGAACATGAAGAGGGCTTCTGATGGAGTGCTAATCAGGCTGTGTAGTGTCAGGATGGGATGTCACGATGTTTAAAAATGAACATTCCTATAAGAAGGATGTTTATTAAAAAAAAAAAAAAAAAAAGTATCTAAATGTCTTTGAAAAACAACCCTCCCCTATTTCCTTCTTTCCTTCCATCTCTGCACAAAAATTTCTCCTTCTTATCCAGCTTAGTTCTCCTGAGGGCAGGAGGGGAAGGGGGGAATAATTTGCTGGGTTCTTTTGGTTCTCCCTAAAAGAAGGTGATCTTTCATCAGTATTCTTTTCCAGATAACCACATTCGTTCTGGGACTTTTCCCAGATTTGGGTGTTTTGGCAGGAGATAACACTAAGGTCTCTGCCACACACATTTCTAGAGCTGGTCTTGGCCAGAAAGTGTGAATGGGATTGCTCAGCATGGCCATGCCACTCAGAACTGTCAAGAAGTCTCAAAACACATCCAAACAAATTACTGTAAGTACCACAGTCTTCTTGGACTGGTAAGTGACTTGGGCACTGATGTCTAATAAATGAAGTGAGACTAAAATAGTTTCCATGATACTGAAAGGGGAATTCTAGATTTAAAGACAGATGAAAGCTCTATGTGCCATGGGGAGGGAACACAATTATTTTTCCTTAGATTGATTTCTAAAAAGGCAGAGGATGTACAGCCAGTACTAACTTCAGTTAGAGTTCTGTTTTCAGAACATGTCTGCATGTGAAAAAAGAACTTGGTTGTAGCAAACGTATATATAAATGGCACGAGCTACATGGGAACCAGCAAAGACAGTAGGACTTCCCCAGGGTACGCCAACTAAACCTCGCTCTCAGTATTCAGAGCATGAAAATAGTCTGTGATTTCCTGTACTTTAGTACGTGGGCCTAACACCCACCTAAAGCAAAGCACAGTAAAACAACAAACATAAACCAACCAGGTAACAACTAACCTTTTTATTTTCTGCTTCTTCTCATTCCTGCATCCATCTACAATAAATCAGGTAACCAACTGTCTTCAGCAAAACCTCTGAGATGCTGAGAGAACAACAGATATCCATCTTTTTGGGTAGCTTCCTTAAGCTTTTGATTCCTGTGGGAGCTATGAAGTTCTCATTTTCTCCATGGTTTCAAAAATGGACATTTCCTAAGGACAAACCAAGTGGTTCAAAATATCTTCATGTGCAACACTATATTCAGATAGTAAAGAAGCCACCATTCAATGTAACCTAACTTTGTCTTCTTCCATTTGGAAAGCTGCTACTCCTCCCATAAAAACCTTGGTGAAGCTAAATCCTTTATAGAGTTCCTTCAAAAGAGTAATGGCAAAATATCAGAGAACAGCAATAAGGGATTTGAGAGAAAGTGTTTCCCCTGTAGATGCACAGACCACTTAGGAGAACTACTTTTAGGCTGCACTTACGAGACTCCAGACCACATATCATCACCTGTATGATTCACATACCAAAAGAAAAAAAAATATTTCCATCAGCGAGTGAAATTCAAATATGATGTGTTTAGATGAGATGCAAATGTTACACAAGAGAGAACAGCAGCTGTACTAAACAGTCTAAGGAATATAAGGTTGTGTTATGCTTTTTTAATATCAGAATAGGCAAAAAAAATCATACTGAAAATGCAAAGGTAAAATTCAAAGTTTACAAGCCATCTACTCTCTGGGAAACATGCATATTTCATCTTGTGTGTTGCTTTCATCCAAAGCAACCTTCTGAAAAAGTATGCTGAATCTTTTATTTTACTGGATCTTACTTATTAGTATCTGGTACTATAAAAATGTGTATAAGAATTTTCTCCCATAATCCTTAAGAAAAAAAAAGAAAAGATGAGAAGCTGAATAAAAGATCTGTGACAAGTGAAACCTCATAAGTGTAGTTGATCAAAAGACATTTTTTCCATGAAAGTTTCTCTTCATCAAAGTTTAAGTTTCAATGGAAAACTTCAAATATGGATTTAGAAATAAAAACAAAAATAAACAACAACAACAACAAAAACAAGGCCTATGGCAAATACAAAAATAACCAGAGAATTTTCAAAAAGAAAACACCATTTACTTTTTAGTTTTCTGAGTTAAATATGTGGAATGTACATGGAGCAGAGTAACAGCAAGCTAGCCGGAAGGAAAAGAGAAGATAAATAAACCAGTGCTAGCGTGTCTAGTATTTATAAGGAAATTCTCTTCAGAAACACAGCCTGCATCACTAATAAAATTCCTATTCAAAAGCCAGCTTGCTTGCACAGCCTAATTGATATATGCCTTTTTTGTGTGTGTGTATAATATGAAAGGTTCATTTTTCTTCAATGGGCAGCAATCTCTGCTTTGGAAGCAACACTACTTAGTAAAGCAGGATGTGAAATCTGCCAGTTTTTGACCAGAATAATAGCTGTTCTTGCAAAACTTGCACCCTGGCTCTAGATTTCACACAAGATTCCTTTCTTCTTTCTTTCCAGTGCCTACTACACAACTGCAGACATCAGCAGCAAAGTATTGCTCTTCAGTACATTTAGCACATGGTGGCAGGCTTAGCTGCGGAGATCAATTCTTCTTTGCTCTGAACTGATTCTCCTGTTTCTGAATGCAGCAGCTCATTCAGAATTCAATTCCTTGTATTTCACAGCAGCACAAGTTCACCCACATTTTTTACAGCTTCAAAAAGCAATTAGGCAAACTGAGGACAGAAAAATCCATCTGAGGTCCCAGTTCAAGCTCAAGCAGCAGTAACACTACAGTGCACAGGTTGCTAGGAAGTTGTACTAAAGGGCTGCCTGGTTTGCTTTCCCCATTCTTTTAATTTCCTCTGATCTGGACACTGTAAGAGGCTATATGGACCCCTGGTCTGCCTCATCATGGCTTTCAGACATTACATTGCTATCCAGAGTAACCTTCCATCTGGGAATCGATGTAAGAGACCCCGGCAATACGAGCTTTTTCTCCATTTAAGATGGGTTTTCACAGATGAGTGAATGCAGTAAAGATATCAAAAGAGTATTATTTTATGAACATATTAAAAGGGTACATTATTAAGGCTAAAACCTCCCTCACCTTCATGTGAATATGCTTGCAGAATTCCGAATCCACATTGCAGACTAAGATCTCCTTCCCCATTCCTGCTTTAGTCTTCCTCCAAATTCTGGTTCTCTTTTCCCTTTTCAGCAGTTCATTTACTGCAAAAGCAAGCAGAGGTTGGTTAGTCCTAGGTTCCCCACACTGAAGATCCCAGTGCTGTTACATATGAACAGCATGAGGGGATATGAACAGCTTCAGGGGGTAATGTGAAGGAAAAAAAAAAAGATACTTTTGAAGTAAAAGACAAACCCAAAATATTTAAGTAAATATTAGAAGGATTTTTTTCCAAACTCGTATTTGGATCTAAATGACCAGACTTGCTTCTTTGCCTTTTGCACAGAATAATCTCCACGTATGTATTTATTTATTATTAATACATATTTATGTTGGGCAGTTATTCCACTTCACAGGTCCTCTATATCATTGTGAAAAGGGGTTCTTATAGGCCAGTGTTAAGAGATCTAAAAAGCGAGCTCATTGAAATTCAGATTGTCCCATTTTTCTACAATGAATACATCTTGTTTGAATGCTGCTCACAGACAGTGTGGTGCAGTATATTTTGCAGATGATGGAAACAGACAAAAATCAGCTGAGGAAAAGGGAAGATCCAACAGCTTCCAGTGGGAAGGTTTCTGTACACTCATCCTCCAGCTGTTGCCAATATTCAAGGAATATCTGTACACGCTAGTGCGAAACTTAGAGCCTTACTGCACAGATAAGATATAGAGATCATTTTTAAAAGCTTCTAAGATACCTTCAAGAGCAGTCGGGAAACAAGCACAGGGGTGTTATCAAGAAGGCTCTCAGCCAGCAAATTCTCCTAAATAGCCCAGAGCTTTATTGAACAGCTTGCACTGGAAGATCAAGGAATCAGGACGATCTATGAAGCAATCTTAATGCTGATTTAGTAATTGCCTGTGAGTACAACTCATCCTCGACTAGATGAGACCCGGGGGACTGAAGTCCCGTCAGCTCCCCAAAATAGGTCATGAATGGAGTTTTAAGTGATGCTGACACTGTGCGTGGATTCCTCTCCAGGGAATAATTTTTTGCCACATTGCCACAGGAAGAATCCATCACCTGGTAATTTTATTCCATTTGCAAAGCAGTGAGCAACTTCAGCAAACAGCAGCTAAATTAACCTTAGAAAAGCAAAGCCAGTCTCAGTTCTGTATGAGGCAGCATTTTACCATGGGGACTTAAACACAGTGGCTCCATGTACACAGACAGCTGAGCCTTCTGAGAAACTCAGATACGTGGCATCCTGAGCCAATACAAAATCAACAGTTTGCCTAAAACTCAGGTTTCACAGGCTGAGCTCTGGCCCTTTGGAATACTAAACTTAAGCTGAAATCTTACCATTTCCAACATAACATGTGGATGCTAAAAGACTTGTTTCTGTTCAAGAATGTCTCCCAGACCTGCTGTAGTCACATGAAAGCATGCCCCAAATCCACAAGTACATGGATGGACTATTCTACCAGGCACTGAACTTGTCCTATAAATGCCCCAGTCTCCCCATTCACTTCCAGGGATTTTTCTGAACTCTGACGTTTCCTTTGGTCTGCTCCCCTCTGGTTTTCTATCTATGTCCAAGCACTCTCTCTTCATCTACACATTCAAAGCGCAAAGCTAAAATTGCACAAACTAATCACTTCTAAAACTCCTCATTGTGGATGTGTGAAGCATGTCTCCACTGAGAAACAGCAGACCATGGTTCATTTCAGCAGCACGGGCAGACAAATCCGCTTAGTGTGTCCAGAAAAACTGGGGGTTGCCCTGCAAAAAGAGCCCAGAGCACTTGCTGGAGGCGCAACGTGTCCCCTGGTGCCTTATCTGTGCTGGTGGTATATCTGCAGCCTCAACGCAATACTCAGGCAAGGGAGAAGACGACAGAACATGCTCCACATAGATTTAGCCATCACGTCCTCATGTCTAATTGCTTTAAGTGGTTGGCAAAGCTGACAGGATATAATTGATGTGGAGACTTACCCTGTCTCCTGATACTGACATTTTTAGAGTTGTGCTTGCTGACTAGGAGAGAAAAAATGTTAGGATTCCAAAATAACCTGCTATTTGCATGGGCTGGACAGACGCTCCATGTAGCAATAGGCTTGAAGACCAGAGGACAATTTGACATCTCCATGGCATGCCCGTGTGGGCACAGCCAAGCTTATGTTGCTCAACACAGTACTCCAAAGTATCAAATATGCAGCAATTTAAAGTGGAAAATGGAACTTCCCTTGGTTCTGTGATTGGGTTTAAGATGCGTATTTTTGTAAAGTACAAAATGTGTGTTTAAAAAGTAGACCTTAAGCCCTTTAAGTCAATATCCACACCTTCTTATCCACCCAACTACACAGTTGTGATGCTGCCAGTATGCTGTAACCAGGCCAGGGGGCAAGGAGCATGAATCGACCGTACAGAACAGGCAAGCCCATGCCCTAACAGTATTCCCTAATGCTCCAAAACCTTTGGCCTGGCATTATTTCTCTAAAAATTCTCAATACACCCCAGATTGGATCAAGATTAAACATATTAGCACGCTGGAATGAATTCTGGAGGTAGAGAGGAAGGGAAGCAAGTAATGTTTAAGGAGTTGCCTTCCATCCCTCTTCCCAGATAAAGCTGGAACGCTGAGCAGCCCAGCCCACGTAATTGTATCTAACCCATGATACACACTCCCTTCACACATTTCTCAGGGAAACAAAAACAAACAGAAAACCAGGCATCCCAAATCAGTAAGGGAAACTCAGAATTTTGCTAAACAGGAAGCACCAGATCATTATGATTTCAGCTCAATCATTCATAAGAATCCACCGAGCCAATTTTAGAAGCAGAAGAACCAACCAAAGGACCTCAGAAGAGATCAAAAATCTGATGATGAACCTTGAACATAACATAACTTCTAGCATGAAAAATTAACCAATATAACTGATTATATTCAAAGTACACGTGGGTGGAATTTAAGTGGGTTGTTAGTAACTTCAGTGCAGAAATCAGATTAAGCATGGGAGAAGCTCCAATGCGTGATTATCATGTGATAATTACTCAACATTTTGACAGAGCCCAAGGCTCCGCTCAGCCCAGCCCTTAACAATGAGAAGGCAGCCTAAACCCGTGAGTATGAAACTACCACTTCTGTTCATCCTCAAGCAGTTCCTTTAAGGGAAGTCCATGAGCTTCTGCTGAAACCCCAGGGTTACCGATTCATGAGAGCCCCTAGGGACCAGAAACCAAAGTCCAGGCCCCTGGAGAAGGCAACATTAAATCAGCTGCAGTGCAAATCTGTTTTGATAACCTTTTGGAACCAGGTCACCACCAATCGTTCACATATAGGGAGTTGTTAGAGAAACCTGGCTGGTCAAGGCATCCATTTGATCTGCTCTTCATGCTGTTACCACAGCAACTGGTGCTTGAATGAAAATCTGTTAGCAAGCTGGATCTACAGACTGCCCCATCACATCACAAGGTAGCAAAAGTGGAAGCTTGAGGCAGGCCTGGGAGGCATTTATCTGCATGTTTACTACAAGGGTTTTCAGCTTTGTTTTCCATTTGTTCTTTTTCTTTTGACAGAACAAGCATCAGCACACCAATTTTTCTCTATCAAAAAGTACTCTGTAGGTCAATCACAGAAATGAAGTCTTTTTGTTTGGCCTGCTGTGCTGTCTAAATAGCTCAAAATTTTCAGTATTTGCATTAGGTTTCCATATCTCATGGAAATTGAACATTTATATTCTGTAAACACTATTGCTGAGAGATGTAACGGTAGCTACATACCTTTGCAGAAATAAAAATGCTTTACAAAAGTATAAAAAATCTAATTACATGTTCCCCAAGAGATTCAGATTTGTCCTGTTGAATTTGACCCAAATTTATTTTATATTTTAGGCATTCCAGTTCCTTGCAGGATATTTTCATATCTGAAAATGCAGATTCTGAGACTTACTTCATTTTGAGGGAGGGAGGGAAAGTCTGTATTTACTTTAGAGCACATTACACAAGCTGATGTAACCTGTGTTATTCTCCCAGTTGACTTCCTGAACCGCTCTGGAATATGCTTTATTTCTGTCTCTGTGGCAGGGCAGAAACTTTAGAACTAAATTTGAACTCTCATCTTTGTCCTGAGGAGTGGAACAAATGAAGAATAGATTTGGCCCAGTACTAAAGCCACACTGAGATGCAACACCTAAGCATCACGCTTAACCCAAAGAGCGAATTGTGAATTAGTGACTGTGGACAGGTGAGGGGGCAAACTGATGCTGGGGTCAGTGCTAGTCCACACTACCCACATCTTTAGCTTTTGAAATCAATGCTGAATTTTTCCAATAGGAAAGGTGAAAGGTAACACAGCTATGCCTTTGATATTTTCCCCTATTACTCAAAATCTAGAAGTGGGACTACCATTGTTTAAAATCTTTTGTGTCACAGGTATTATTCCTTTCAAAGACAGAAGTTGGGGGAGAGAGTGAGAGTCCAACAGAGAAAGAAAAAAAAAAAAGAGAGAAAGATTAAAGCATACCACTGTGAGAGGTGAGGATACATAAAATAACTAAGCCTGGAATCACAGAATGGTTGGGGTTGGAAGGGACCTCTGGACATAACCTGGTCCAACCCTCTGCTCCAGCAGAGCCACCTATAACTGCTTGCACAGGAACATGTCCAGGTGGCTTTTGGAGACTTCCAAGGAGACAGATCCCACAGCCTCCCTGGGCAGCCTGTGCCAGTGCTCACAATTAAAAAAGAAAAAAAAAAAAGTTTCCCAATAGGAGGTTTAGGCAGAACCTCCTGTGTTTCAGCTTATGCCCATTGTCTCTTGTCCTGTCAAAAACACTGCTAATTCATTGTGCAATTAAGCAATTTCCTTCTCATGCTCTTAATTCCTCTGGGTGACAATTTTCGTTTCTCTGATTGCTTCATCATGACAAATACAGAACAGCTAGTTCTAGCTTCTATTGTAATAAAGCCATATTTGGTAGAAAAACACTTATACCTGATTTGAAATACATAGGAAATGGGACCTTTATTTAAAGGTAAAGATGAAGGACTGGAGAAGCATGTTTCAGTAAAACTACACTACTGCGCAATTTGCCCACTAATTTCTTGCAATTAAAAGAACTAGGAAAAAAAATCACACGCAAAAAAATCTTCCCAAATATTATTTTTACCACATCAATACATTAAAAAACAAACAAACAACACAAAACAACAAACAACAACAACAACAAAATATAAACAACCTATGAATTTCTTATGAATCAACTTAAATTTCTTCCCATTGGCTATTTGAAATTAGACAACAAAAGCTGCATTAAGTAGATTTGTGTCTTGGGAAAAGTCTTCAGAGGGACTTGTTTTGTTTCAAGGTTTCTGGTTCTTGATATTAGGCTGGTGACCTCTCTCTCACCTAGTTTCTTTTCTGCTCCATCACTGACTGACCAGAGGTGAAAAGAGGAACTATTTAGAGCAATCGCCATAATTTACTCAATCAATAGCAGAACAGCTACCCATAAACATCTCTTGCACAAAGTTCTCTGTGAACACATTGGCATGCTTAGTAGCTAAACTTTGCCGTCTGAAAGCACTGTTATGAAAAAACAACTAATCATTAGCACCAAATATAGTAGAAAACACATTTTTAATAGCACCAAATATAGTAGAAGACACATTTTTAAAGGCCAAGAAAACTAAACTGACCTGGAAATTTTTATTACTGGAAGTGTTTGAGAATTGTTTTGTCCTTCTGAGAACACCTAGGTCAGAGGCCCAAGATGTAAATTCTGCCCAAAGACAAGTCTGAGCCTTGCCTTCAGAATTTGGTCTGAATTTTGAAAATACTAATTAGTAAAGCCTCATGTGGATCATCTCTGTGAAATGGATATATTGCAACTAGAAGAAACAACCCAGTAGGAAGATATGAAGCATGCACTATGCAAAGAAGCCCAAATTCTGAGAGAAAATTAGAGACTTTTCATGATTCTTGTTGAAACAATCCCATAAAAGCAACTAAGCTTTTCACTGATCTCAGTCAGGTAAAAGCTATTGAAGTAACTAAGGAAGGAATTAAGTAATTAAGGAAGAAAACTCCAAACCTTAATTTGCTACTTTACTTTTAGTGATTCATTTAATAATATATGTGTATATATATTGAATATCTGATTTGGAAAAGCAACGTGCCTGTCATACCATGACTGTCTCTCTTCCTCAGCAGTAAATCACTACCTTGGTGAGGGCAGAGGACAATTATTCCCTTGTCTGCTAACAAGTACCATGTTTGATCTCACCTTTCTCCAGTGACTTCACTTCATTTTTCCTTAGCTAGGTTAACAACAATGTTCACATCTCCTGTCTCCAGGCCAAGCAATTGTTTTAAGGGCTCCAAAGTCGTTTGACTGATGGTGTGGACAGGAAGGCTAACATTTCTGAGCTGATCAGGGCTTTATTTTAAGACATCTTGGTCCCTCTTACTTCCTCCCATCATACTGCCTAGAAAGACTGCCAATGGCTATGCTTACAAGACTCCCTGTTTCAAGCTCATACTAGCATTTCACAGGAAGGCTCCCAGGAAGTTTTGAGTTTGTCCCAGATTAGAGAGACCCAATCTTTCAGCATTGCAATCAATTCTAACAGAGGCAGGATCACAGTCTCAACTTTTCCCTGCACACTCCTGATAAGATCATAGTGCCTTCCGTTCTCTCAAAGTCAGCTGTTAAGAAAAAACATATGAATAAAAAACCCAGTCCTGCCTGCAGTGTACCGTGTGCTTGTATTCCAGATGAGTTCCTGTTACAATCCTGGTGGATGCCATTGTCTTACTCCAGATATTGATCTGGTGGAGCAAGAATAAGGCACGTAAACTTCTGGTCTGTATTAATGTGTACTATAACTCTTGGCACTGTATCAGCTGACATTGCTCTACACCATGTTTTAAATCAATTACCTGAAGTAATAATTGTTTGTTATCAGTATGGGGAATTTCGTAAACGAGACATACTTGATAAATCAATGCACAGATAAATCCAGATATCATAAAGTAATTTACATGAATTTACTAAAATGAGACTACTGGAATTATAATCTTTCAAATACACCAAAATGACGTTACTGTTTCTTGCAGCTTGCTATGTTAAATACATCCCTGTCCATTTTGATCTTTAGACCTTTGCTTCTGGTGAAATGATTAGATATTATAATGAAACTACGCTGTAAAACCCAGACTTATCTTTCTTCCAGTTTTATCTTAATAGAGCCAGTGAAATCAAAATATGAATTATGCTGCTATATCAGCTGAGCAGTTTACGTGATGTACCTCTGCTCCTGCATATTTGAAATTTATTTATTTTTAACAATAGGCTTCGCTCCCCCACTCATTTGTAAACAAGAGCTACTGGAGCAGCACTGAGCCTAGTTCTGCTTTCTCACCAGCTACATCTGTTTTCTTTTCTGTGAATTCATTGCTGGTTTACATCATCATAAACTGGGTCAGAAACAACCCTAGCAACTGCTCATTCGAGCTAGTGAAACATATGAAGAGTGGCTGCAATGACAGAGCTGTAATAATGCTTCTCACCTTTACTCAATTAAATTTAGGCCATGCAGAACTGTAAGTGGAAAATTTTGGCAGAGTGACTGGCAAATCACGGCAGATCTAACAAAGCTAAAGTCATTTAAATTCATCTTCCCTGTGAACTTCAGTCCAAGGCTGTAAAAAACCCAGCTGAATACCACGAAAACTCGAGCGAGGATCGCTGATACAGACACTTCCCGTTACCTCACGATGACTTGCAGAAAATCTGTCTTATCAATGTAAGACATTCATCCTTTGTGTTGCAATCACAGCTCACCTCACGGGAAAACAAGCAACGTAGTAATGTGCATTTGCTAAACTTGTGTACCAAAGACAGATATTAGAGGAGCCCAAACATGTTTTCATAAGCTACAGAAGAGGACAACTATTTCCACCGGAGGGGATAGGAGAATATGGAATGTGCTTTTGGATATAGGAGTGCCCTTTGAGAACTATGGAATATATCTTCAAATGAAAACCATAAATTAAGCATAATTACTATTTCTGGCAGCTTGCATAAGAAAAATAGAGCATTTATCCTGTCACCTTGGCTCACAATCTCAGCACAGACTCGTGCTTTTGGCATGGCTGCAGTGCTGCTATTATACACTTTCTTTTGATTTTCTCCACCACTGTTTCTAAAAAGTACCTAATTTTCCTTCAAGATTTTGTGGCTAAAATGTTTGCCTGTCCTTTGGCTGTTTCTGTTTTTGACTACTTCCCCAACAATCCCCAGCAGCCACTCTGCAAAAAGTGCAGTCACCTCCCCTCCCTGCCTTAACACCAGCTCAACAGCAATCATAGTCACGTTTTTCTTGCCTCCTCCCATCTTCAGCAGCAAATCCAGATTTTATGTCTCTGCCCTACAGATGATACGAGGTATCTTTCATTACATTTATCCATATGCTCTGCCTCACAAATCCTGCCGTTTTGTCTATTGCCATCTCTCTGCAACCCCACCCCAACTTGCCTTTTATTCAGCCAGGCCTACAAGCCAGATCCTTTCTGTAAAAGCCAGAAATGACTGCTGTGCAAAATCCATCTCGCTGATTACATATCCAACATAGATTTATCTGTTAATACAGAATGTTCCAGAGGGCAGGGGCTTTGCTTTTGTGCATTGCTTGGGATTTTGTCATTTAAAATGCTGCAGCTATCAGCCATATTATAATGACAGTAGCAACACTACTTTGCTGTAATTAGGAGGGACACAGGACAGCAGGGAACTGGGTTTAAACTCTTATTGAGAAAGAAAACAACAATGAAATAACTAGTCAAGTCTCTACTTACAGAGAACAACCAGGCTTCTAGAAAACCAAGTTCCAGAACAGATATCTGTACAAGGGACATGCCATGTAAAGGATGGTTGAGTTTGTCAAATGACCTGAGAGATGAAAATTTGCCTGCATTGAAGCATGATGTTGGTTTTGGTTTTTTTGGTTTCTTGAAAATATTTTTGAATATTACAGCTGAAAGGCTGCGACATATATTACTTAACATATATATGTAATATATATTACATATATTATTTTCTGCTTAGAAAAGTAAGTACAAAAATAAATACTAAGCAAGATATTAAAAGCTGACAACAAAACCTTTTCCAAAACAGTTTGCTGCAGTATTTCTGCTATGTAGAAATGCAGTCTGGCAGAGAGCACAAAAACAAATATAGAATGTATTTAATTAGTGAATACATTTCTGGGAAAAGGTTTTCACAAAACAGCATCTAAGGGAGAACAGACTCACCCTGACCCAGCCAAGTCTATGAACCAGCTCATCCCAGCAGACACTCATTGGTGAACAGCATGGAGGAGAAAGGACATTGCAGCTGCTCAAAGCAAAAGGAACTCCTATGGTGGCCTTGCTCAGTGGGAGAGTTTTCTCAATTTTAACATATGAAATAAAAAATAAAGCACAAAACCTGTATGCAGAAGAAACCTGAAACTTTTTTTTTTTTTTCAGAGCAATAACTGTTTTTTTGTTTGTTTGTTTGTTTTTTCTCAGAAGGCAGGCAAGCTACTCTGCAAATAGAAATAGGCTCAGTTTACACAGATTGGAGAAAAACAGATTAATTTGACATTCCTGGTTTTAACTCTACATTAGATGAAACAGCAAAACAACTACCACCACCGACAAAACCCACAAAATGACTTACACTGACTTATTTATTTTTTTTCATAGTGTCTGATAGAACTTCAGATGCATTAATTGGCATTTACCTCTTGGGTTTCCTACAAGCAGGTTCCATTCAGTATCTCTGGAGGGAGAAGGATGTACAAGATGCTCTGTAAACTTTCACCAGGCACGGGCCCCTCAGCAGGCATCAGCAAATGCCCCTTAAATCCATTATTTAGAAGCTATGTACAAATACGTGTTTTTCAGATTACCAGCAGATTCTGTTGATAAAGCAGTTTCCTCTGTGTATTGCTCTAGATTTTGACAGCATAATATAGCATGTTACAGAAGCTTTGGTTGCCATCTCTGCTTTGCATAAGCCTGCTATATTTGTTTTGCTGTTTCCAAGTATATCCTGTAAGGGGAAGAACAGTTAGAGAGGAAAACCCAGCAGGAATAATGATGCATAAGAAAATGTGAGGGTGTTTTCTACCTCTTTAACAAAGTATTGAGAGAAGAGACCAAAATCTAGTTCTTTAAAATAGGATAATTTTACCAGAACTTAGACAGCAAAATTTAAACATTTTAAACATTAAGTTCATCTTTGTTATACAGTTACATAGTTGATCAGTTTATCTGCCAAAGTCAAGATATCTGTTGTTGTAGTATCACTGAAGTGTTAAGTCAATAAATTTTAATATGGACAAATTTCTGATGAGCAAACATGGAATGCATTCAGGTTCTTTTACCTATCTCTTTTACATTTATATCTTACCTTTACCACTTGAGTAGGGTAACTTTCAGATAATTTGTTAATTACCTCTTCAATACAAGCTGAATCCATCTTTCCTTACATAAAGATTGGTTATGTACCTAATAAAACAAAACAAAATAAAACCTCCTACTAATATTTTTATCTGTCATTCTGGTATTTTACAGCAGGTCTCATTCTCAGTGATCACCTTCAGTTCATATTTTATGAGCAAGCACATAAGGAGTATTGTCATTATCTCTGCAAGGACTGCAACTCACCAATATTGTAAAACGTTTTGTAAAATAAATACTGAAGATAATACTAAAAATTATTCAAATCAGACATTGTCCATCATTGGAGCCTAATTCAGCAAAGAAGATGAGATATACGAACAATTCTTAGAATTGAAAAGCATGCTCCAAGGAGACTTATTTGTAGTTTATTTCATATAAGTTGTATCTAGATGGATAGAAAAAAATGCATTAATGTACAAGGAATTACCACTGCCAATATTGGTGAAGAAATAATGAAAAGATGATTGACATAAATCATTCAGAAAGCTTATTACACAATCCTCAAGCATATATTAAATTGACTGGCATTCCAGAGCTGAGACATACTAAGGTCAGACTTATGCTGGAACACTATTTCTTTCCATATTGTATTGTAAATAAAAAGTGGAATTCTCATCCCATGGGAAATTCCAAGAATTTGACATTTTTTCAGCACAAATAAGAAACATAACGAGTTGGAATCACTGAAACTCTTATAAGCAATGATATAGGAATATAAAAATAATGTAAATATAATAAAAGTTAAAATGAAAAGAATAAAATGCCAATATAAAAGATTTCAATATAGCCAGAAAGAAAGAGGGTAAAATTATTCATTTTGATATTTCCCCATCAAATTTAATCTAAATCAATGTATTCACTTAAGATATTCATTTTTGACAAAACTGCATCGTCTGAATATAAAATCATATATTTTTTTCAGCTGGCTCTCATTATTAAAGATTGATCAGATTGTAAAAGTGCCAGGGAAAAAAATCCTTAAGAATTCAACTTTTATAAACTGATTATATTGAAAGCAATTTTGATAAAAGTTTTAAAACCAACAAGAACAAAAAGCAAATAATCACAGTAATTATCAATCATGGTCAAAGAACAGGCCTGTAGAGCAGTTGCACAAAAGACAGCCAAGTGAATTGCTAACACGACTGCTTTTACTTCAAGCCAAGTGCTGTCTCCCTCCTCTGCAGGGCCCATGGTTCTACGCCTTCAGAACTTTGGTCGCTTCCCTGTTGTAGTCCTGCACTGAGGATTTAGAGCCTCTCTTCCACTCATTTTTCAGCATCCAATTTATTGTCTTGTCAAGGAGAATGTATGTTGGGGTGTCCAGCTTTTTTCCCCACTGACTTTCTGCCTCCCTCTCTTTCAAATTTAGCTCCTGCACCTTCTTTTATGGCCTTATATATCAGCTTGCTTCTCCCTTTCCATTCTCATTGTGATCCCTCTGTTCACTTTGTTTTTTAATCCTCCCTCACCTTCTTCTCTGGCTTTTCTTCTTTCTTACGAATATGCTACAGAATTTGTGTTGTCATAGACAAGAAACATTTTCTTCTCTCCCCAGGAAAAATCTCCTAACTCACTGACCGTTCTCTCATCCTACATTAAGTTTAAACACTTCAAGGCTCTTCGGGGAGAAAAAATAAACAAGCAAACAAAAACACATTTTATGTAAACAGTAAGACTTCAGTAGTATTTAGAAAATAAAGAATAATGAGCAGAAAACTTTTCCTGCAGGGAAGGCAATTTAATTCTATACCGAGCTAATTAAGGGAACTCATGAAGATAAGGGATGCCTTCTGTTCAGATGCTGCTATATTTCTTCTACAGCACATACTACTGCTGTACATATACTGTACATCCATTCACCAGGTGCAGAAGGAGATAAAACCTTCAATTTTTCAATGTCCTTAGCTGATTTATTATAATGGTACTATCACTAATTTTTCCAATCTAGGAAAAATTACAGTAAAATTAGTTTGCTATAACAGGTTATCCAGGATTTGTTAATAAAGCAATAAGAAGGACAAATGAAAGAAATTAGTGTAATGTACTTGCTTGTTAACAAACCTTTGATGCTATTGAGCATGGAGAAAGTCTGGCTTGGAAACCCAGTTAGCCTACTCACACATATTGAACTGTTCCCATCTTATGCATCACTAAACTTCTTGCAGATGCTCAAGTGACTTACACCAAGCACTGCAGAGAGCAAAAATATGAACAATGTCCTGCATTGCAAGCAAAGAGAAGTACTTTACAATCTGGTCCTTGGATGCCATGGCTCTAAGAATGATTCCGTATACTTTCTTTTCTAGAGTTAGTAAATTTAACCTACCACAGGCTTATCCAAGAGTTATTTCTTCCTATATAGACGGTATTTCTCTAATCAAATATGCCTGATTCAGAAGTTCTCTCTCAAGGAAGTTTTCTCCTCTCCTTAAGTCTATCTAATTACTCCTAGGTGGCCCTGCCTTGTTCCACCCTAAATAATTCCTGTTGGTATTTATATACTGTAATTGTGGACATTTATCACTGGCAGTTCTCTAGGCAGTCTTGTGACTTGCATAGCAGAATGTAACTGGTGTTTAGCATTTCCTTTACTTTGTACTTTTCCAAAGCACTAAACAACCATTCATTACCTGCATTTGGCAACTGCCCAAAAAAACTTTAGCTTTTCAAGCACTTGTGAGGATGGGAATGCTGTTAAAGAAGAATTCTCAGAGGGCTGGATGTACATTAACTCGTGCTGCAATTAAAGTGTTTCTGAATATTTTCAGGCAGCTGAGAGTCCCCGAAAGATGGTGGTGGGATTCCTTCCCCCCGTTGGTGGGAACTTTGCGGTGTTACATGTCTCTGTCCCCTTTGAGGACAAGCTGGAAGGAACCAGACAGTTATGGTCAGTGTGGTACTGAATCCAAATGAAGAAGGTGGGCTTGGAGGATAGAGGTGTCAGTTTAATCTCTGTCACAGGACTACCTGGCTCCAATTAGAGCGAGCTCCAATCTGCCTAGAAAACATTAAGCAAGAAAACTGATTTCTTACCACTACCTCGGGCAAACACCCTAGTTGATTTTTCCTGCAGCCAGCTTTACCTTCATCCAAAACAATTATGAACCTAGAAATACTTGCAGCATGGCCACTGGTCATCTAGTAAGTGGGAAACGTACAGAAAAACCTTCAGAAGAATTCTTCAGGTAGTCAGTTTTAGAGGATGAGGTTGTGTGACATCTTAAGATTTCCCCTTTTTGCAGAATTAATGCAAATGCATTTTTTTGTTTGTTTTTGACTGAAATGTCTCAGGGAAAAGTGGTTCTTCCCCTCTTGTGTCAGGCATTAGAGAAGGCCACAGTTTCTGAGCAGATCTGGAGAGACAGGATAAAGCACAAATGGAGGGCGTTTAGTGACCTATCATTAATTTAGGTATTTTTTTCCACCATTACACCACCCAGTCCACCCTAGCTGGACATAACCCAAGAGATTCAAGAGAGGACTAGCAGCAGGAAAATCCCCAGCCAAAATGGCCAGGCAGAGCTATTTGTGTATCGGGGTAGGCATGGACTCAGGAGACAAAATGCAAGCCCTGGCACACTCAGTGCTTAAAAACCAAACCAAACCAAACCAGTAAAAAAAACCAATGCAACACACAAGAAGGCACAGAAGGAAAACAGAGGGCTGGGTAAATGCCTGAAACACTATTTGGCTTGATGTGTTTTTCTGTTTTCATGCTGTTCTCTTCTCATGTCTTGAATGAAGTGTTGTTACATATTATTACCAATAATGAGAACACACAACAACATTGCCACAGCACACCAGAGAGAGGAAAAAAAATATAGAAGAACATCTTCTCGCTAGAACAAATGAGTTTAATTATTTGGCCATGATTAAGTTTATCCTTAATTACAGATGATTTTTAGCCATCAAAGCATAAGTATTTTTCTCCTAGGACAAACAGCAGGGGCAATGGAGCTTTCATTTAAAGAAGTAGAAGATGTTAACAAAAAGGATCTGTGAAACAGGGAGGATTTTCACCCGTTCATGCTCTTATATTTGTTTGTTCCTTGACAAAGGAAAGCTGATGTGGTCAGTGCCTGGAAACAATGAATGGCCAGTATGTCCAACTACTTGGGTTGAGGAAAACTCTGATTTTAGCACCCAGTCCGAATGAGAAAGGGCAGAAATGTGAACCTGTGCTTCACACGGCCTACGTGAAATCTTGACCAAAGGGCCAGTGTGTTTCTGAGAACAAAATAATAACAATAAATATAGAGAAAAACATCCTGGACTTCAGAATCTTTTCTGATACAAATTCCAACATAGCCAGCATGCTCCTAGGAAACATTTAAATTTTGAGAAGTCTGCATCTCTCACTGACTGCTAATTTAGTTGAAAAATATTCACTTCACTCTAGTTAAAATCTTCTTAGTTCCACCTCAGTGTTTTAATTTTATGCTCTGCCACAAACTTCAGTACAACTTTCGGGCAGTCACTTCATTTCCTGCATATCCATTTTCTTGCTATGATGCTGCAATTTTCTCTCTCCATAAACTTTTCAGGGAAATGGAGTGTCTGTAATTGTGACTATAACTCATATCTTCATCCGCACGTCTCAGATTGCTACTACAATAAAGATCAGGAGCGCTCAGCACAAGAAAGAACGCATTTGCTGATGCTTGGAGAAATCAGCACTGTTCATTCTGAGTTCTTGGTTTGAATACTATGAAAAAAATTTTTGATACGCAGTGATCCCACAGGTTGCACAACGCAACTCCCAGTAGCTTTAGGATCCCAGCAGGGTCACACCCATCCATCAGAGCCGAGGATAAGTCAGCAAAGTAATAACCTTCCCAGCACCTCTCTCATCATGAAGATAACTTACACGAACTTCAGCCGTGCACGCAGCCAAGCACGTGAGAACACCACGCACAGCATGAATATCTGTTCATCCCCTGAATCATAAACTGCTGGTCTTCAATAGCTACACAGTGCTGCAAAACTACTGCATTATTCATTCAAAGCTATGGTGTAACTTGCTTTATTGATTCTGGATTTAATGCTGGCTCCAGCGGAGGGATGGGTCAGATAACAATTACTTAGGGCCCCACAGAGACCCCACAAAGCTAAGTTAAATAACGCAATGAGTCATTCAATGCACCTGCCCCTTAATCTCTGCCTGGGGCCACCACTAGTCTCACACTGGCTCTGGCAACAAAGTAGAGATTATTACACCTCT